GGCGCGCCACGTCATTTGACACGTGGCACCAAACTGGGCCTCTAGGAAAATGTCTTCTTGGGCTTAATGAAGTGGGCTCATCACTTTAGCCCAATTAAATGGACTAGCCCAATGGATTAAGACTTATTTATTTAATCCATATATATTGGACTTATATAATTAATTCAATTATAGTAGCCCATATATTTATTTGGACCAATATATCTTGAATTTAAAATATAGTCCAAATTATTTTATGGATTTAATTTTAATAAAATTTACATGCCTACAATACCCATAAAAAATTAAACTACCATTTTCTTTTGTATGCCATAACAGATGCTAAAGGAATAAACTGCTATCTTCTTATACAAGGATCATTTGTCTTGACCGCAAGCAATCGTAATAGTCATTAAGATTTAAGACCTATATTTGCTTAGTAATAAGGTATGCAGATCTACTACTAAAAGTATTGCTAACGTGATTTGGATCGATCTGTATTCGGTTTGATCGAAGATGTGAATGTATATTTAAAATATTCTCGAGGGAAAGGTGAGAATTGGTGGTAATTACACCGTATAATTACAAGGTAATTATTTTTTAATTTCTTTCCTTTTTGTTTCTATTTTAATTATTTTCTTTATAACATTTTATTTCCATTATTTTAATTCTTTTTATTCTTAATTTTTTAATTTTATTTTTACATTTTAATTGTTTTTAAATATATTTTTCTTTGTACATTATTTATCTTTTATTTCTCTCCCTTTACTTCTTGTGAATTCATGCAGTTGCTCGTATATTTTATTTATTATTTGTTTTTCTTCATTTAGTGTAACTGCGTTATTATTCTAGTTTTTTGAAACTACACCTCCTAATATTATAAATAATGGGTCGTTAATAAACTTGACGTATAATGAGCGATGTCATTAAAGTAGAATTTCATTGTTAAATGAGGCTATAAACTTATTTTGTTTCCTAATCTTAAATTGTATTGGAACTTATTTTTATTATGTTGGAATTTGATATATGTTAATTTTTTTTTTTGAATTTTGAAATTATGCCATATTTATTGTTCTAATTTACTTGTTTTAGTATTGGCTTGTTATTTCACATTGCATTTATTTTTAGTTAGAATTGATATGTTAGTTTTGTCAAATATTGAATAATGTTATGACATTATATTTATAAATATTAATATATTTTATCAAACATGCATTCCTTGATGTTCTTACAAAATATTTTTAGTTTTTATAATTAATTAAACTAAATATTATTAATTTGAAATATATATAAATTATTTTTACAATATTAGTTATAAACATATGATTACTGATTAATGCATATTCAAAAAAAAAGATGCATCTTAAATATCAAATTTAATATCATTTATAATTAATACAAATCATATAAGCATATCTTATTATATTAACTTTTAAATTTTGATAATTACTTTATTTAAAATTTAATCTAATTAAGTAATTACACTTATGCAGCCAAATAACACGCTTGTAATTACACTGTAATTATGTTATGACAAACAAACAGGTTGTCGTAATTATTATACCAGTCTTATGATATGCGCGTTGCGCGTGTACAATATCTCAATGGATAAAAGAATTCTAAAAAGTCGTATAGATATTATATTGAAATATTGTGTCTAAGCTATAAAATATAAGTTTGTTTTCCTAAAAATGATAAATGTTGATCTTATGTACTTAACTCAATAAAAGAAGAAACTACTCCATAGAAGTTCTCAATAATTCGTCAATGTCTTCAGTCAAAAAGTTGTTCTAATTTTATAATTTTATTTTCTTAGTTAAGCTTGATACTTGAATTTTAAAATAATTGGAATTGATTGAGATTATTATGTCTGTGATTGCTAGATATGTGTTTTTACTCCCAAGTATGATTTAATAACAAAAATTTAGTTGATATTAAAATTTTAAATATAAGAAAAATAATTCAACATATTTTATTATTTAAAATAAATACTCGTAAACCTTGAAAAAGTACTCCTAAAAGTATATTAAAAAAATAAGAAAATAAGGACTACTATACCAAACTTTTATAACGAAAATAAAATTGTCCTAAACCTAATATTAAAACAAAAATTCGTGAATTCTTGAAATTCAATACCTTAAATCTAAATAAAGTTTATACGAAGTATTCCAATTAAATAACATGATTTCTTAGATCAAAATCCTAAATATTAAAAAAATAATTACTCCAGTGATTATTCTAAACATTAAGGAAATAATTAAATGACTATTTCTAAATTTAGGAAACTAACTTAAATTACTATTTTGTCCAATATGAAAACTAATTCTAAAGGGTAAAATGACGAACGATTGCGCGTGAATGCTATATCGATGAATATGATTAAAATATTACATAAATATTCTATTGGAAATTATGTTTGAGTGATAAGATAAAAATTATAGAAAAAATATAAGTTCTTGAAAGGAATTGTTGAACCTATCTAGCTAACACAATAAATAGAGAAACTATACCCCATATAAGCCTCAATCATGTCAGTCAATATATTCAACTTAAAAATCCTTACAAATTTTAGAATATCATTACTTCAATTTCACAAGTTATACTTCATTTTTAGTTTTAGCAAGAACACATTAACTCTTGGATATTTAAGTTATTCCGTAAAATTTTATTTGAAAAGTTACATATTCTTAAGTTTATTACAAAAAATACAAATAAAGTCAACTAACTGACAAAAGTTGCCTTTTTTTTTTCTCGTTGAGAAAATATAAATTGTGCTATTACTCTAATCAATAAGAAAAAATATAGTAATTATTTTCAGTAAATTAGTAAAGAACTACGCGTCTATGTTGTAACAAAATTTTATGCAATTTACGGGTTCTAAAAAGACTATGTTAATACTATTCTAGAAGCAGCAAGAATATAAAATTCATGTTAAAATTAAATTAGGTTTAGTTCTACATGTTAGACAAATATTTTAAACGTAGATTTCCTTTTTGAAGAAAAAATTAGTTTTTCAAAAGGTACAGATAACTCTATATAACTCTCTCTCAACTTTTATATAACTCTATATAAAAGTTGGTATAAACCAATTTTTATTGTGCCACATTTAACTCTATTTAACTCTGTCTCAATAATTTTAGGCTGTTATATATTTTAGATACTTTTTTTTTGTTATGTTCTCTCGAACATTGACAATAATTTTTACCCTTTGAGACTATTTATTTTTCAAATTCAAAAAATGACAACTAACCAAAATGTTACTTTTCAAAATAATTCTTCCAACTAACGCTAACTATTATTTTCAAAGCCAAAATCTTTGTTGTTCGTTGAATATAATATTTGGCTTTGTCTTTTATACTTTTAAACTCCATAATAATTAAAGTTATTTTGGTTTGTTTGTCTCTGGAGAAAGAAACATAGTTATAATGANTGTTGAATATATTATTTGGCTTTGTCTTTTATACTTTTAAACTCCATAATAATTAAAGTTATTTTTGGTTTGTTTGTCTCTGGAGAAAGAAACATAGTTATAATGACAAAGTTAATTTTGTTTATTAAACATTTTCTTGTGTGGAATTAGGGTTATTTATTCTACATGGAAGAAACATACTTATTATTACACGGTAATAGTTATTTTATTCAATTCAAATATGGAAAGAATTTACATAAAAAAGCTTACTTGATTTTAAATTCTTAAATATTAGGACTTCCTTCAAATAAGGAAATGTTTAATAACTATAATTTTAGTTGACTTCAAAGTCTTAAATGTTAGGGGAAAAAAAGTCATAACTATTAGGAAAATAATTGAATTACTATTTGTCTAGTGTGAAATCTATTTTTAAAGGATAAAAAAGACGAACGATATTTCACTAACGACCTTCGTGCTTTTAATATAGTATAGATTGCGTAATTATTGGGCTATGTAATTACTACCCTAATAATTATACCAATTCCAATTACTAGGTGTCTTTCCAAACAGACCCGCAAGGTCTTCTATATATTATTCGTTTAGCTGCTTTAGAGACCTTTTTTTTCTTCTTTTTTCTTTAGAGGTTTGAACTCACTGTATATTTAGTACCTTTTAGTCATCTTGAGATGACTCAATTGGTTTGATCCCATAGTACACGTTTTCTTTTATTTTTCTTTTTAAATGACAATTATTTCTTTTTTGAGATGGATATTTCTAACTTATGCGGGAGATTATGATTCTATAATTTCAATAGATTTTACATATGAATTCTAAAACTTAAGTCCTAGCATCATTTGAAGGTAAAATCTTGCAGCTAAAGGTTAGCTAAATCAATTATTTGATAGATTTCTCTTCTGATATGAAATAACGTTACTTTGCACATGATCGGCCTGTCGAGTAGCCATGGTTTATTTTTAGTCTTTTTGCCATGATCATAAAAAAATTGTATTTTATTGTTTCGTTTTCTATTTACTAATTACACAATCCAGATAGCAGTTTCGCCTCATGTATAGCAAATGAAAGTCTGCTTTGGTTTATTTACAAAGCAAAATCGAGACTGATTTGATCCGTCTAAAATAGCTAAATGGATATCGACAAAATAATCTAGGTTTATCCTTAATAAAAATCCCAGATTCTATATTTATATTGAAAAATTCAATAAAAATTATAAACATTTAATTATGAAGCGAATTTATTATTGTACATTAACTTAAAATCACTTTAAGAACTCACAACCTCGGATTTTGCAACTCCTGAGGGTTCATTCTCCCCTTAATAATGTAATTTTTTTTATTTGAAAGAAGAAAGCTGCTCCTCCAAAGTGTGAACTGGGATATACAAGTGAACTTAGACCAGAATAATGACCAGTACTACAAATCACATCATTTGTTTTTTTCTTTGTTTATGGAAAATAGTGTGTGTATATTTATTTATTTATTTATTTATTTATTTTTAGACAGCCCCACTGAAGATCTCAAACCCTAACCAACATATCTTTTGCTTTATATAAAGAAATTAAGAAGAAGAAAAAAAGTTAAGGAGAAAACACTGAATGGATCCTCTCTCAGAAATCTTCTCTTTTCATAAAATCCAAGAATATGATACTTATCATCAGGAGATTCAGATCCCTTCTACTCCATGTCAATTACCCCAACAAGATTTGGTCAAGATTGGCGCTAATTCCTTGCCAAGAAATGATACTATTAAAAAGAAAAGATCAAGAAGATTATTATCAAGTGTTTCAACAGAGATTACTAGTAATGAGACCATGGATCAAAACAAGCTCATCAAAATAATTGCACATAGAGATGTTGAAAGACAAAGGAGGCAAGAAATGACTAATCTTTATGCTTCTCTTAGATCACATCTTCCTCTTGAATTTCTCAAGGTATATATCCAGTTCATATTTTTTCTTCAATTATTACTCTCGCTAGAGAGAGTTTATGGTGTAAAAAACTTATGTACTGTATGGGCAGCTGTCATCCGACACTACTAGAAAATAATATAAAGAAGGGGAGCTTTGGAGCAATGGTAAAGTTGTTTCCGTGTGACCTATAGGTCACGGGTTTGAGCCATGGAAGCAATCACTAATAATGCTTGCATTAGATTTGGCTGTCTACATCACTCGGGGTGCTACCCTTCCCCAAACTCCGAGTGAACACGGGATGTCTTATGCACCAGGCTATTCTTTTTTATGCCAACACCGTTTGTGCAATACAAGATAAGATAGAAAATTACAAGCTGAATTGTAAGAATATGTCTATATCGGTAGTGAAAAATTCTGCATATGCTTATGTGCAAAACTTCTTGCATAAAACCCTAGTTATGTATGTTGATCTAACATTTTTTTGTTTTTATTTAATTAGGGGAAACGTTCGGCATCAGATCATTTGGAACAAGCTATGAATTACATCCAACACCTTGAGAATAATATTAATGATTTGGAAAAAAAGAGAAAGAAGCTGAAAATTTTGGCCCATTATTCCACCAGGGAGGATAAGGAAACCATCCATAAATATAATTTAGAAGAGTATGTGACAGTAAATCCTTGTCAAGATGGTGTGGAGATTTTGATAAAAAAAAAGTTTGGAGAAGAAGGGCTTCCTCTTTCAAAAGTGGTTGAAGAACTCATGAAGAGAAAACTAAATGTTGTTACTTGTGTTTCTACTAAAGTAGATGAAACATCCCTCCACAAAATTCAGGTTGAGGTATATATATACTATCAAATAAACACTTCTCTTTTGATAAAAAGAAGATATACAGTTTTTTTTTTCTTTTGCAAAATGCTTTTATAAGCCACAATTACATGGCTTTTTAACAAGAAGACATGATTAATATAACATATTTTGTTGCGTTAACTTAGCCTTTGGCAACAACATTAATTCTTGTTGCATGGACCAAATTCAAAATTTAGCAAACGAAAAATATTGGTGGCAAAAAATTTCATTCTAGTAGTAACTATTAAGTCATTTAAAAGATAACTATAGGTAAGATCCATAAAAAAGTAAGATTTAGTAACCTGAAAATAAGGCAAAATACTTGTTACAATGAGTTAGTATAGTAAAAAAGGAAATTCACTCAATCCGGGATTTAGGTATATATGTGGCATCTTTATCTCATTAATTAATATTTCACCTTGATTACAATTGATGTTTGCAGGTCACAGATGTTTCTTGCATGGATGTATCTACACTTCAAGGAAAGCTAGCCGAGATGATGCTTAGTTTGTCTTAAGAGGAGCTGGTTCATGAGTAATGGTGAGTATAAAGAGAGGTAGAGATAGGCAGAAGAAGTATTGGGAAGAGGTAATTATACATGTCATGGCATATCTTCAGGTTACCGACGACACAACACTTAATCGAGAATTAGGGTAGAAGATTAATAGGTAGTTGAGCGTATTTCTTTTTCATACAGTAGTATTAGAATCATTCTCGTATTTTCTTATTCTTAGATTTCTATTACTACCAGTTATTTCTTTTGCTTAGATAATCTTATTATCTTGCTATTGTTACTGGATTCTTTTTTCATGGCTTCTTCACTACCATATTTCTTTTTCAAAACTATTGTGATTATACTTTTCTTGAGTCGAGGATCTATCAGAAATAATCTCTCTACCTTCACAAGGTAAGGATGAGGTCTATGTGTACACTACTCTAGCCAGCTCTCATTTGTAAAATTACACTGGGGTGTTGTTGTCATTGTGGAGGTTCATGAGACTTCAGATTACTAGGCATTGGTTTCTACTAAAACTTTACTCAAGACCAGAGATTCTCGAATAACATTCATAGTGTAATTCTTTCACCTAGAAAGATACTAATTACAAGTAACTGTAGTGTTAATAATAAGAGGGATTATTAACATGGAAGATAATTTTGATAACTTGTTACAATATGTTAAAATAGTGTAAATATTCTTTTTATTATCAATGTGTATAAGTTAAATCCTTTCTAAAATTGAGGGTAAACTCATGTTATCTTTGATGGTTTAAAAATAACTGAAGGATATATAAATTGGTTAGCATTTGCATGTATATTCAAAAATGGCTCTGAACGTACAACATATCATCTAATGAATCCTTGCAATTCAATGCTCTATCTAGACTAGTAGAGGCGGAATCGAAAATTTAAATTTATGGGTTGTGTAAGTTTTCTGGATCAATATTATAAAAAATGCACATTTCCACGTGATGAAATTATGTGATTTGTAATACATATTATCCTTGGTCTCTATAGTTTCACTTATAATGAACTAACGCGAAAAAGGACTTACAATCAAGGTTTAAAAGTATTTCTCTACGAAGCGGATTCAGCATTTTAAATAAGTAGAAATAAAAAACATCATTATACTTGCTACTCTTTCGTGACAATGTGTGCAGATATAGCCCCCTTAGATAAAATATACTAAAGAGGCATAGCTTTAGGTATGACTTTTACACGGGACATTAATTGTCACAGAAACTTGGGATCTTGCCAAAAGGATTAATTGTCATTGTTATCGAGAAGCAAATCAATGTCACGATCCGGATTCCCCATGTCATGATCCGGATTCCCCAACCCTCGGGAATCGTGATGACGTCTACTCGTGAAATCTAGGCATGTCAACTATTACGGTTCAACACATTAACATTCAACCCAAATAATTATAAACAGTAATTATAGCTAAACAAATGAAAAGCGCGGAAGAATTAAAACAAATCCAAATACTTCAATATATGTCTACCCAGGAATCTGGTGTCATAAATTCACGAACAACTAAGATTTTTACTACAAATACAAGTCTGGAAAGAAAAGTACAACTGTTCTCGGAATGAAAAGAGACAGTAGAAAAGCTAAACAGGGAAGTGGGAATTTAGGCTCTAAGGACGCCAGCAGATCTACCTTGGTCTTCCTGGACAGAAGGCGACTACCTCAACTACTCACCGGGTCCGGTACCGAAATATGCACAAAATAGTGCAGAGTGTAGTATCAGTACAACCGACCCCATGTACTGAGTAAGTGTCAAGCCTAATCTCGGCAAAGTAGTGACGAGGCTAGGACACGACAATCGAATAAATCTATGCAGTTAAATCATATACAGACAAAACCATAATAACAGGAATCAACAGAATAAGGTGGGAAGGGGACATGCTGCGGGGAATAACAGATTCTAACAATAAGCCAATAAAGAAGCATTAATAACAAAGCATAATGAACATCATATCTAAATCAACAAACTAATGAAACGGTAACACGTGCACGGTATCACCCTTCGTGCTTTTACTCTCATCCTCAACATATGGAACAACAGAAACGGCACGACAACTCCCTTCGTTCATTACCTCACATAATCATGGCACGACATCACCCTTCGTGCAATATTCCTCACAATATCGGCACGATTTACCCTTCGTGCATTAACTCTCAAATCATGGCACGACATCACCCTTCGTACATTATCACTCATAATGTTGGCACGACATCACCCTTCGTGCATTACACTCACTCATAATATCATGCACGACATCACCCTTTGTGCTTTACACTCTTCCGCACCCAAACAATAGAAACAATACGTCCCGGCAAGGGAGTCAACAAGATCAACAATAACATCTCGGCAGGGGAATCAACAATATCAACAATAATATCTCGGCAAGGGATTCAACTATAACCAATCTCGTTTTCAACAATTACTTCACAAAAATGAAACTCAACTTCTGCCAATTCTCAACAATAATCAATTACCAAAACTTTCATAAGCTTTGTTTAACATTAAAAATCATCAATTTGAGCATGATCGATACATAATAGAGTCAAAACAATCATGATATAAGACTTACGGGCATGCTTGACACCAATGTATAGATACTCATCACCACACCTATACGTCGTACTCGATACTAACACATAGCAAATAGACCACAACTCATATTCCCTCAAGCTAAGGTTAGGCCAAACACTTACCTCGATTCCACGGACAAGATTAAGCCTCAATTACCGCTTTACCTCTCGGTTCCACTTCCAATTCGCTTGTATCTAGTCACAATTTACTTAATAACATTAATAAATGCTAATTAAATCAATTTTAATGCATGAAAATAGATTTCCCATTGTTTTCCCCAAAAAGTCAAAAATCTACCTGCCTGCGTGCGGATGGATAGGGAGGGCGAAGCGCGCCGGTAGTAGCCTCCTGAATTAGTCGTCAGAACCCGAAGTTCGAACCAAAACCCGATCACCCATTCACTCACGAACTCCAATATGTAATTAGTTTTGAAATCGGACCTCAAATTGAGGTCCAAATTCCCAAAATTTGAAAATCCTAACTTCTATCCAAAACACCCAATTCCCCATGAAAACCCTAGATTTTGGAGTGAAATCATGTAAAAAAAATGTTATAGATTGAAGAAAATAAGTTAGAATTTGTTTACCTATGATTTGAAGAAGAACCTTTCTTTGGAAAATCGCCCAAGAGAGCTTAGGGTTTGAGGGAGTTTGAAAAATGAAGAAAATCTCGTCTAAGTTGGAATTTACACAGGCGCAGATATCGCAATTGCGACGATAGGTTCGCAATTGCGAACTCGCAAATGCGGCCTAGTCTTCGCAAATGCGAAGGTAGGCCTACCCCGCTCTCTTCGCAATTGTGAACAATTTGTCCCAATTGCGATGACTGACCTCCCATGATGACTTCGCAATTACGAAGGGGAAGATCGCAAATGCGATCAAATGCTGGCCAGACTTCCTCGCAATTCCCAGGCCTGATAGGCTCGCAATTGCGACATCTGACCTCACAATTGCGAGATCAGAGCCTGCAACACATACCAGATGAAAAATCTGAATTTTCCTAAGTCCAATTCACCCCGTAGCCCATCTAAAACTCATCTGAGCCCTCGGGCTCCAAACCAAATATGCACGCAAGTCTAAAAATATCATACGGACTTGCTCGTGCGATCAAATCATCAAAATAATATCAACAACTACGAATTTAACCTCAAATTCATGAAATTACCCAAGAACATTGAAATTTCTATTTTCTCAACTATAGGTCCGATTTATACCAATCCAATTCTGATTCTTACCAAATTTTACAGATTCAACTTAATTATTATTTTAAACTTATACCGGACTCCGGAACCAAGATACGAGATCGATACCTTCTAGAAAATGCATCATTTCACTTTTAAAAGCCTTTATATTTTCCAGTAAATAATTTTCTTTAATTTTTTTTTCTCGGGCTTGGGACCTCGGAATTCGATTCCGGGCATATGCCTGAGTCCCATAATTTACTACGGATCCTATGGGACCGTCCGATCACGGGTCCGGGTCCGTTTACCAAGAATGTTGACCAAAGTCAACTTTAACCAATTTTAAAGACCAAATTCATTATTTTTCTAAAATTTCACATAAAAGCTTTCCAGAAATGCGCCCAAACTGCGCACACAAATCGAGGTGAGACAAAAAGAGGTTGGTCTTCGGAACACAGTTTTGACTTCTAAAACAAGAGATGAGCTTTAGGGTCATTACATTCTCCACTTCTAAAACAACCGTTTGTCCTTGAACGGACATAGAAAAGTACCTAAGTCGGTGAAAAGATGAGGATAACGGCTCCACATATCGGACTCGGACTCCCAAGTTGCTGCCTCAATAGGGTGACCTCTCCACTGCACACAAACTGAAGGGAAAATTTTTGATCTCAACTGAAGAACCTGCCGATCTAGAATAGCTATCGGCTTCTCCTCATAGGTCAAGTCCTTGTCCAACGGGACAGTGCTGGAGTCGAACACGTGGGATGGTCGCCGTGATACTTCCGAAGCATAGACACATGAAACACTGGGTGCACAACTGATAAACTCGGTGGCAACGCAAGTCTGTAAGCCACCTCTCTCACTCGATCAAGAATCTCAAAAGGACCAATGAATCTAGGGCTTAGCTTGCCCTTCTTCCCAAATCTTATCACACCCTTCATGGGCGACACCCGAAGCAACACTCGCTCTCCGACCATGAATGCCACATCACGAACCTTGCGGTTGGCGTAACTCTTTTGCCTGGACTGAACTATACGAAGCCTATCCAGAATGATCTTAACCTTGTCCAAGGCATCCTTTACTAGATCTGTACCCAATAACCGAGCCTCTCTCGGCTCAAACAATCCAACCGACACCGCCTACCATATAAAGCCTCATAGAGAGCCATCTGGATGATCAACTGGTAACTGTTGTTGTAGGCAAACTCTGCTAGTGGCAAGAACTGATCTCACGAACC